GTTAAAATATATGTTCATCAAATAAAGTCTAATGTTACAACTAATTGGGGATCCCTTTAAGCTGCATTGATTCTTCTTCTACTTTGACAATATATCAATGCTTAGAAATAAATAATTCACTTTCAGAGTCTGTTTGATCTTGACCCTGTTTTTTCTCAGATTAATGCAACTAAATTACACACGACTACAAGACCAGAAAGCATCAGCTCAGAAGCATTCAACATTTTAACAAGAGGAAAATTAAACTTCAATTTTACACTAAAAGTGCACCAGACTGGAATGCAAGGCAAAACCGCCGCAGCAAATTTCACTCAAAACTCCTACAAACAACAGTACACATCTGCCAACGTTACTCCAAATGTTAAAAGCCTTGCATTTCATGAATAATGGTTACCAAATACAATACAATTTTGTCTTTTGTTTAGACAATTATCATAGGTTGGAATGTGTAAAACATAGAATATAAAAAAGAAATCTTGCTCTTTTTACCAGGCATGTTTTATACTGTAAATGCTGCTTCAAAACAGGGCCAATAACAAGCTGTCTTTCTAAAAGATGTGTAACTAACATTAAATGTTCAAGACAAACTATAATAGTTGCAAAACACAAATCACTGTGCATGGTTAGTGAGCCACTTTACTGAGCTATATATAATCAAAATATTCAGCATTGTGGGCGACTCCCTCAGACAATAACCTGCTGCAGACATTCACTACAAAACAACATGTATTATTCTGTAATATTAAGTTGCTCTGAAATTACTAAGCATTTATCAAAAAACAATTTTTTACAACATAACTTTAAAATGTGTTAAAAATGTGCAGTTCAGCAGATCGATTGCAAGAAATGTGCTAGGGTTGGGCAGTATTGGCAAAAAAAAAAACTTAATCATGATTAATTGTGGTATTTAGCCAATAGCAATTAATATGACAACTAATCACCTGGAGTCACCTGCATGCCCTAGTCTCATGACCAATTTAAATCACTCTAGTGGGAAAGATTTGCTCTCCGTAAAAATCTGTTCCAAATTGTGTCAAAAGTACAGACTTTTGGCTATACATCAATTTTCAAATTGTGTTGATAGACCAAATAAAACAAGAGTTATGATAAATAAATTAAAGAACTTTTTTAAAAAAAAATGTTCGTCTTATTTGAAGCAGAGAGGAGCATCGAGCGGACTGATGGGGGAAATCTCAAGTCAGTCTTCCTGGCAGCAATAATCCAAAACATAATCAACATTTTTCTGAAGATTAATTGCACACAATATGATTTTGCCCAACTCTAAAAAGTGCAACATTTTAGTTTTATTTATTATATTTCATTTGTTACTCTGTGTCTTTCAGCAGCAGAACCACACATTTTCTGACTTACCTGCTTTCGTGTGCGGGTTTTGCCTGTCCTCAGCTTGATGTACCTTGCAATCAATTCGTTGCGACCTGAAACAAAAAACGGAGAATGAAGTTATGAAAAACAATTCAACTTTTCTTCAATTGACAGAAGGTGGCGCTGTTGTCATCTCTTGACGTTTTGTACAAACAAAACAGCATCCTGAAAGTCAGCAACCAAACTTTAGTCTGTTTCCTATTAAACATTTTTATGTTCAGTAGGTTCGCTTGTTTTGCCTCAAAGTTTTATTTTGCTCATTTCACATGTCTAATGTCTCCTTGCATCGCCCTGCAGCCTAATTGCAATGACGGCTTAGAAAACAGAACCTTGCTTTTTAAGACATAGCATCTCCACTCGAAATTCTGCACAAACATCTTGTGGCGTTAACAGGCATCTATTCTGGGCTTTCACGCTCCTCTTTATGTTCATCGCTGTGCAGGAGATTTAACAAGCTCTGCTTTTGCAGTAAAGCGCAGCTGCAATCAAGTAAAAACCCATCGCAGCGCATGAGAAGCACAAAAAGCTGTATTATGTTGTCTCAAAGGAAAGTCAGGCTTTTTCGGTTTTCTTCTCTGCCAAGTCACGCTTACTGGGTTTTTGTGGCTGAAAAATTGGGGCCAAAGGCAGAGGTTGAACCAGTGTATCATTATGAATAATGCCTCTAAACTTGCTGACAGAAAATTATGCTGACAAAATTGGTCAAGATGTGCCTTCTTAAACACATACAGGGAAAACACAGAGGAGAGCATGTGTTTAAGAAGTTTAACAGCTTCCCAGATGCATAATGACAGGAGAAAGACGTCTCGTACTTGGCCTCGAGAAGGCCTTGGTTTGTGCAATTACCATAAAAGTACCGCAGGCCATCTTCTGCAGGCCCGCAGCACTCACCCGTACTGGCCAACCAGTCGGTCCGGCAGCCAGCCAGCAGAGCCGAGCTGAGCTGTCTGCCGATACCGAGGTAGCTCCTCCCCTTCTGCCCCTGGGCCAAGGATGGACACACCCGCTCCGGCGCCTCCGCATTCCTAGCATTCCTGCAAGCCTGTCACATCTGTGCTAGCCAGTCTGATTGGGCCTGCGAACACGGAGCTTCGGGTGAACACACACACACACACACACACACACACACACACGCTCATATGGACTTCCATCTCTGGGAGAAGCAGGGGTTTAGGGAGACGGGTGGGGGAAGCTGGGGGGGTCACTGGTTATAAAGGGGCAGCTGAAAAGGGCAGCCACTCTTAGAGGAAACACAAAGCCATAACTGTATCTGCCAACAACTGCCACCTGGCAGCAAAGCAGACCATTCCCRGAGCAACACCACAGTGAATGGACAACGGACAACAGCACCTGCTGCTGACCATCCCCACAGAGCAAAATAATGCCAGTTCAACCCCCCACCCAACTGTCGCTCAGTCTCTTCAGCTGTGGGGCAAAAGAGAGAGAGAAAAAAAATTGCATCACAGATTTGTCGTGAATTTCTCTGACATCTCAGTGCATACAGAAAGATACAAGGTAAAAGATTTAAGAGGAAAGAGCTTGCTGAGACTGATGAGTCAGTCTGAGAATTCTGATTTTCAGTATTTAAAGCTGGAGAACCTAATTTACTTTTCCACTAAAGTCATTACAGGTTGAATTTTAGCAGATCATCACAGACGGTTTGGTAAGCTGCAGCAGAGTTCAGGGGTTGATTTTGAACAGGAAATCTAAAGTGTGTCTCATGAGACTGACACTCTGTACTACTGAAGGCAAAAATGGAGCAATAATGTTTTTTATCTATGTCCTGTTTGTCTTTTCTGCAAAATATTTAAAATAGAATATTTAATGAATTTGTATGATTTGGATGAAACTCTTGGAAGCAGGGTTCCCACACCTTGRTCAACATCAAATTCAARGACSTTTCAAGGACTTTCCAGTWCCARTTTCCTCAAATTCAAGAACCACACATGATGGCAATTACCTACTGCTACCGCAGAATGTTACCAATAAACAGGTTTAATATCATGTAATTCAATGAAAAACTGAACAGCACAGAAGATGTTGAGTCAGAAACAATGATGTCAGTTTACTGTAATCCTGAGTTATCCACCGCAACAAATGTAAGTTTTTTTAAACTAAATTTTATAATTTTTTTTAAAAAGATGATGAAAATCAGTCGTGTGAATAGAGAATTTCAATCCCCAAAAAACATTCAAGGACTTTCAAGGACAAGTGTAATTTTTGGCTGTTTTCACAAACTTTCCAGGGCCTTGAAATATATATATATTTTTCACATTCACAAACTTTCAAGGATTTCAAGGACGTGTGGGAACCCTGTGGAAGTAATCATCAGATTCAAAGAATATTTTGGAGTTTATCACATTTAAGAAGGCTGTCATGGCACAGATTTCCTCAAATTTGGGAGATCAGAGAAGTTTGGTGGAAAAGATCAGGTTCTCTACCTCCACAAATGTCTGAAAATCAGCCACTGTCCCCTTTTGCTCTGCTGTGAGCACTAGTTAATATCAGGTTTAAACAAGTTTGTATTGTTTCAAGGTGTTCAGTGTTCAATGTTTATTTAATAAAATAAGATTGGAACATTGATGGTGTATTGTGACCTTTAAAAAAATTGTTATTGGACAAAATCGGAATCGGCAGGTCAGACCTTTTTTTAAAGATCGGTGATCAGAGATCGGCCAGAAAACTGCAAATGGTGCAACCCCTACTAAGTGACCTTGGCAAACACAAGCATGTCCAATAATAATTTTACAGACACTGAGCTCAAATTTGGTGTGGTAGTAGCTGAGAGTCATCCTCAACACAGATTTGGCTGTGGCAGATGGGATGTGGAGGCCATCTTCGATTAAAACTCAATGGACGATGTGTATTCCCTCACAAGCAATGCCAGGTTTTAACTTTTAGCTGAGTTTATGCCTTCAGTTCTTCTACAGCATCTGATTAATATTAAGAGACTTGAAGTTAGCGGTTATCTTTATATGCCACATCAGGCTTCATGTAGAGACACCACAGTTAAGTCGGTGCTGTGAGTGATTCCAGTGGTAAAATTTCAAAGTTTCGCATCTAATTTCATGATCCAAATAATCATTTTGACTTGCAAAGATCATTTTTAAATTGGGTAACATTCTTTCATGCATTCTCAAAAAATGCATGTGACAACGCAGAATATTTTAGGGCTACAAGAAAAAAAAAGTACCAGGTTTTCAGCTAGCCATGTTCTGAGGTCGACACCATCTCTATGTAAGAAGCTCCGAGTTCAGACATCTTGCAGATCTGTGTTCAATCAAGAGGCTCGGCGTTGAAAAGGTGCCAAAGAAACAGAACAAAGCCAAAATGTCCGATTTTTAATACTGAATGAAATGCAGCTACACATCTTGCAGCCAATTATTAGCCTTGCCTGTTTGTCGTTTACTAAAAGACCCGGAAAAACTGGTTTTATTGGGTAACAGACAACATTACTGTTATATTTTAGATGCACTACTTCCTTATGCATTTCTGCAGAGATTTACTGCGTTATCAGTCTGCAGCTGTGGAGGACGACATCTGCTCAGACTTGCCACGGTGGGAGGGTTAGCGAGGTCAGAGACCCAGAGGTCTACACTGCAGGGAATCATGACAGGTTATACACAAACACACACTAGTACATTTGACTGCACAGTCACATTGTTCCGTGTTTCCCACAATCACACTTTTCTCCCCCCTTTCTCCTCAGTTGTACTTTGTGAAGTCTCATGACTCCCTCGCTGATTGCTCAACCCTTACTATGCTCGCTGCAGGCTGTCATTCTTAACTTCTTCGCTGACCCGACACGCCCATCTTTTGCTTTTATTATATGACACACTGGAATTTTCCACTTCCACGCTGAGATAGCAAACAAAAAAGGTGATCTGTATCGACTCGGCATAACCTCTCCCTCTCCCGCTCCATCTTTAGCACTCAGTCTCTCCCCCTGAACTCTTTCTACACCCATATTTTTCTCCCGCCTCCCTTCACATAACATTGAGGTAATCCTAAATTGCTAACATACTGCTCAGCCATGACTGAAAACATTCCTAACATCTCAGCGAGGGGCTGACAGGGAAGCACCAGGCCTGCGCAGTCATCAGACAAGCTGCTCAGTCCCCCTCGCTTAGGTTTGTACACACATCTTCTCTCACAACTGCGCAAATGCACAAAACCTGCGGCTAATCCAAAAGTGTGGACCTCGGCGGCCTGATGAACATTTTTCCGTGCTCACATCTGTCTCCTTTTTTTTTTCCTTACCCAGAATGCTTTGCAAGAGTGACAGCTGCAGGGGTGTGGGAGAAAAAAGGTGTGGGCTTTTAGTTTGACACACCTGTTGAGACCAGAAAACGGAGGTGAACGACGTGTCAGTACAGCCCCAAAGCATAACAAGAAAAACAACATTTCTTTTTCCAGATGCTTCCTCAGAGTTAAAAGTAGAAGATGTGCCAGCCTTTTCATTTCTCAAAGAGCAAACATCTGAACGTAAGGCACAGTTTCTGTGCATGGCTCGGCGCATGTTTGCTGTCATTTTGGATACTTCTTCAGAAACGAGCGAGAAACTGGGTTAAGTAGTTTATTTCGCACCAGAGTTAATTTGAATAAAACAAAATTTTAAAAAGAAACGTATATCTTCTTTGCTTTAAGTTGTAGCACAGTGGATCAAATCCATTTCGAATAATAACTGAGTTGTTTAATACTGAGCCCGCGAGGGGACATGGGGGCTTTTTTTTCTTTTTGCGTTCCCACGCAGAAATATTGCGTTACCTCGCAACACCTTTTGTGTTCCCTCGCAAAAGTCGTTAAACACTRTTGTGCCTGCCAGTTTATTAACAAACTCACATGTTTACCATTAGCGAGTTAGCCTACTGCTTTAATTCAGGTTCAGAATGAATATATCACACAACCACGCATGGAAGTATGTCATATGCCGATATTTTAACACAGTGCAGCCACGCAATATCAATGTCAATTTCACTAACTTGTAGCGACACATCCTGTTTTGGTAACCGGACATTTCAAAATAAAACGTATGATTTAATGAAGTTCATATACAAAACAAACCTTTGCCTGGGAACGCAAAACAATACTGCGAGGTAACGCAAAACTATTGCGAGGGAACGCAAAGGTATTGCAAGGTAACGCAAAAGTACTGCGTGGTAATGCAAAAGAAAAAAATCCCCCCGTGTCCCCTCGCGGGCTCCGTAGTTTAGCTGTAACCTAAGATATTAAAAAATAAACAACAAAACTGAGAACATTCTTTATCCAGCTGGTATGTCTTTAATTCCAGTGTCTCCTCTCAGTCTTACTGGGCACAACTACTGCAGTATCAGTCTTGCATGAATTACTGAAGCAGTGTTCTTCAGATTTTTGGGTAATTATTATTTTCAGCTGCAGAGGTTTTGTTGCTCTGCATTCCAGCTCGAAAGACGTCAAAGGTGTTCTTGGATTCAGGCCTAAAGTCAATATAGTGTCAATCCTACATTTGAAACTGTTGTTGTGTATAATTTTCTTTCCCGCTCAGCTTCTTGAGATTACGTGTCATATTGTATTTCATAATTGGGCACACAAACTCGCTGTGCTATCTGTATATAAGAAGGTGAGCAATCTGACACTATATTATTGTGGCTCATCCTCGTTTGACATGTGCTATGCTTTTCAGAGGACCAACAGGGTGGTTAATTTTTTTTTACTCCGCCTTAACGAAGCAGAAGAATGAATGGCATGGTTCATGAATATTGGCTTTATTATAAAACAGGACTCTAATCATGCAGTCAAACTAGTTTATCTAAATCTCTGGAGAGAGTTCTGATCAGGTCTGAGAGTACATGACGGTAAGAAGATATCATCAAAAAAGGTCTTGCATTTGTATGGTTACAAATGTATGCATATGACTGACAAATTTTATATACACAGTGGTTTTGTTAGTCCACAGAAATCAACTTTAACCAAAGTCCTACACGCTCTGATCAGCTCCTCAAAAGGTGACAACTATAATCCTCATCCCAAGTCAGAAAATAAAAATAAAAGCATGAATAATACTATAAAACATCCATGCTTCTCCTTACCACTGTTGCTTTTGTGTAATTGTGTTTCGCTGCAGTTTTTGTAGAATACGTTTAAGAAACAGTGTAATAGTTTTAGTTAAAGTAACAGATATATTGTTACCAACTGGCCACATCATAAACTAGAGAAATGTTTTCTCGAACAAATTCCAAAACAATATATGTTTTTATCATCCTAATATTATCTAAATGAAAAAAAAAAGTGAATGTCACTAGTCCAGACTGACTGACTCATGGAACAGACTTTACACATGTCCCAAACTGTCCACAGTCTCTTTGTGCAAAGGTTTCCCATCAACCGAGAAAAAAAAAAAAAAAACTCCTGGCAAAAAAAGTGGAATTCCCAATGGGAGGTTAGACTTGTCTAGTTTTGGAGGCCACTGGGAGTCTGAGACTGCAAGGTAGGCAGGATTACATGCTGTGCAATCGTTAACATTCCCCTAACCTCACGTCAGGGCAGCTTTTAGACGTCTGAGGTAATCACCTTGTGCGGGGGCTTCTTCTGGGGCATGCCTTGGCTCTGCCAGCAGAGCCTCAGATGACTTTTTGTAAATGGAGAGGGTGTTTAGTGCCTTAGCAAAAAAAACAAAGAAAGCCTAAAAGGAGTCCTGACAGTTTGTTGCTAAAGGGGCAGGTTTGTACATCACCTCCATGTTTGTTGATGTTCTCGTATTGAGCTAGAGACAAAAAAAAACTGCCCCGTGAAACAGGACTTAAACATTATTATGGTAATATAAATCAAATGTTTTATGTTTGTGCTAAGACAGTCAGGACAAAAGTCACATTCAAGTCATCGAAAAGTAACTGTGTCGTTCTGCAAATTTACAGCTCAGAACAGAACAGGGATGGATTTCTTTAGCCTGCCTAAAATGAACTTTTTATTTTACTTTACCAACAGTATTTTTCAATGAATCAAATGAGAAATATCATTTATTAAAAATTAAGATCACGCTAACATAATTTGACAATTTTATTTAACTGTTTTATTTTCTTAATTACTGCTTTCTACGTTGATGTTTAAAGCAAATTGAGATTAACATTATCCTAAAAAAAGATTCGGTAGCTGAGTAAATGTTCAGGTATGCCACTTGTCCTTCATTAGACAATACAAGCGGCTTGAGTGCCTCAGATTCGATTCTTATGAATCACACCAGAAGAATCTAATGTGACGTCAGGAGCCCAAAAGATTAAAAAAAACCAAATAGTTGTGTCAAAAAAAATAAAAATAAAAATACACAGATTGTCTGAAGTGTGAATGGCAGAGAGTGATGGTATTCAATAAAGCCAAAATCACCATCATGTTTCTGAGATGTGATGGATGTGAATTAAAAAGACATGAAATCCTTGCAAAACTAGAAAGCGAAGGACTCAAGTTGCATCAGTAAAGTTTGAAGGGGTTTTTGGTCGGCAAGTTTGAAAGCAAATCACGTGAATTCTATCCGTCAACATTTATTGTCTTTCTGCGGTTACAAACTTCAAATGCTGAATCTAATCAAGGCAGAGTCACATTAACAGCAGGAATCAGGAGGTGGGATGACAATAAGAACAGACAAATGAGATCAATTTCCTACACCTGGATGTTAGGGATTCTACTGGAGCACTTGCCAGTACGTCCATCTGGAGCTTTAGGCGCATTAATGGCTCAACACCTGCAATTTAATGAACCCACTGCAGGAAACAAACACAACCTCATGGATATTGTGAAAACTTTTACAGCGGAGCATGCCAGCACCATGCTTTTGTTCTTAAATCTTACTTCACGCTGGGCTAATTATTGCTAATTTAACAGAGCGATCCAGCATCAAACGCAGCGCTTCACCCAGTCACCCGCAGGCGAAGTTTGCCCAGCGTGACCCGCGTGGGGAGAAACGAAACGTTTGGTGACAAGAACATGACTTCATGCTGATCGGCAAAGAAGAAAACACTAGGTGTAAAAATTAGGCCGCAACGAAAAAAGAAAAKGAGCAGAAAGAGTGGTGTGAATCGAGATGGCGGCGTGTTGAGCCTCTCGGGACAGCAATAACCCGTTCTGAAAGTGCGAGTGGGACTGGAAGAACCTGCCCGTGGGTCACAGCGCAACAGGTACAGACCTGTTCGGCAGAGCTATGTGAAAAGAAAGAAAGAAAACATTCACCTCTGGGTTTGAGTTGTTWCGAGAGCGAGAAAAGAAGAAAAGCATTTTTCCTTTTTCTTCAGAGCAGAGTAGTAAACATTTGTTTTTGGCTGCAAATCAGCCTGAAATGGATGGTTTTTCTCATTTTTGGCACACTCATTATGAAGCCAATTTCCATATAATTGTCCTTTTGCTGCTTCGGTGGACTCACCGTACATCTTCCCCTCATCTGACAGGATGATTTTCCTCCTGCCGCAGGGAGGGTAGATGGCGAGGGCCTCCTGGAAACTCTGCTCGATGTCTGGACTCCATACGCCCTCRGCGTCCCCGTCCATGGTCTTGTCCTCATTTTCTCCATCAAGCCCATCTTCTGGGCTACCGTTGGCGCTCCACTCGTTGGACGCAATGGTGGCGGCTCCCACTGGGCCCAACCCCGAGCCCCGACAGCAAAGGATCGGTAGGAGATCTGTAGAATGAAACAAAAACAACTGATGAATAAATTAGGATTAAAGTACGCAATGCATATTCCTCAAGTAAGCAGGCAAATCTATTCGACAACAAATCTGACTCTGTTGTTTCTTACAATAATATAACAAAAGGAACCATTTAATGGATTTGGAGCCAACCTCTGTGACTCATAAGCACAGCACATACAAGATGTTTTTTAACAAACATATATGCTTTAAACCGAGGATCAAAAACAAGCAAACAAAGAAAGTATCACAAATGTGCCCAGCGCAGCACCACTTCATCATTATACCCATTTATTTTCTCTGATTGACTAATAATAGCACTGTCAGAGTAATTAAATGTAAATGAAACACAATGAAAACTGTCTCTTTGATTGTGTCRAGCATAATTACAAGCCATGATTTGATTTGTTTTCGCGACATCCATCTTCAGAGACAGTCAACCAGTTGGGCAACTACGAGGAAGCTGGAAAACACTTTTGGTGTTTAAGCAGGACGAGCCAGTTTTATGACTCCAGGAACACACTGATCTGATAACCAGCAGGCAAACAAGTCAGCAGACAAACTGAAGTTTTCAACATGGATACTTGTTTTAAGTTTACGGTGAAGACACTTAACATTTTCCAAGTATATGAACTCGTTTTTTTTTTCTTAGAAAACTACAGGGATAATTTACAAAGAAGGCTAAGCTTTTAGTACAAGGACAATACTTTCTTTGAACTTTTTTCTTACGGGAGATCTTTATTTTTTTTATGAATAAACAAAGCAAACTGTAATTATTACTACATTTCCCCTGATTTTAATCCTCTCAAGCGTTCAAATGAATTCAAGATATTTCATAAAACAAAGTTTAAAGACCCCACTAATCAGCACTGGTTTGGAAGAATTCTTGTGGTCTGGGAACTGTTTCCCAATGTGGTTGGATTATAGCTGACTACAGGAAAAGATCTTAAGTATTTTTCAAGCTGTCTTTTCAGCTCTGTATTGTCTCTGAAATGGAAGTCAATGAGGTAACAATGGTCACAGCGAGGTCCTGTTTCTGTGTTAACATTTCTGCAGACACCGACAGATATAAAATGAAATTGATAAATGCAGTACAAAGAACACATCAGGGAACAAAACCATTATCCAGGTCTATGAACATTTAGACTTTACGAGGAAAAATCCAAAAAAGTGCCACTTTTCATTTGATTTTTCCAATAAAAGACACTTGTTTAGGTCTTAAAACACTGATTATATTTCTGAAAACATTATGAAAAATAACCAAGAAAGTTTAAGTCTCCAAAGGAGAATAACAGAAACTATGTGAATATTTCTGTAAATCATTTAGATTTGTTTTAAGACCTATCTACATGCTAGTGGATTCAAGCCCTATCACAGCACAGATTACTTAATACAGTACAGACATTTTCAAAAACGATATCATTGKCATAAAACAGACGATGCAATAAATAGCTGAGAAACCACATTTTCTGTGTGACAACAGCATCTGCATGAACACATGGCTGAAAAGCAAAGGTTCAGGATTAGAGTTGGCTTCATTCCCTTTTCATCATCATTTCCAAAGAATTACAGAAGATTAAAGGCAAGTCGACTGTTGCAACAAGAGTCCTGCTGTGACACTCTTACCAAACACAACATTAAATTTATGGCCGTCAATGGACCCAAACGAGCGTTTGACAAATGTCCTCTAGTCAGGCTGTTAATTTTAGCTAAGAGGGGGCCGGCTATGATGGACCGTTTGTGGCGGGGTCACTCAACACTGAAACTGAGCCCCCATCAGCAGATCAGATGATCAGTTCTCGCAGATCACAAGGCTCCATCGCTTCAAATAACTAAACCGCTTGGGCTGGTTTATTCTGAATCTTTTCTGTCCAGTTTCTTTACATTTACTGTATTTACTGTTAAAAACATCAAACCAAACTTTAGAACACACAACTGAGGAATGCTGTAAATGTAAGTGAATAAATCAAATAAAAAGGTCACAATTGGTCAAAATCAATACATATTATTTTAGAATTTTTAAAGAGTGTAAAAAAACAAGGTTCTAGCTTTGAAATTGCGAGGCTCACTTACTGTCAATATCAACAACAAAGCACATTATTAATTTTCCTTTCTTGAAGTGAAAAATAATAGTAAAAGTCAGTTTATTGTCATGAATGACAAATTGAAGCCTASTGTTTTCATAGTAAAAATGTTTCAAGTATGCATTATAAAACATAAAAAGTTGTCCTTATCAAATGGTGCACTTCAAAAGAGGTAGCTTCAGTTTCTCAGATAAATTGATGCGTAATTCTGAAATATGGGTCTAAACTCAATGTAAACAAAATGCTTTATATGCATATTTTACTCAACATATCTGAGCACAAACATGTACACTCATCAAAACTGTCTGAAATAAACAAAGGCATGTGATAGTTAGCACCCATTCACATATTTTGGTTACAATTGTTTAATTAAAGTACAAACTGACCGTCAATATATTAAAAAAAGTGCTGAATAATTATTACTTGCTTGAAAGTTGACAAAATGTAATGACAAATTGTACATAATTGTAACCTGCAACTCAGAAAAGATTAACATAAGATGGCTAATTTGATTAATTAAATATTTAATAAAATAATGTCGTAAGAAAATATCCAATTGTCAATTGTAGCTCTAATCAGAAGGAGAATTGTTAATTGAGTATTATTGTTTTCAGGATTTATGGTAGTGTTTTGCCACATCAACCTATGCGATTTTATTAAGTTATTATTATTATTTATTTTTATAATATTTTAGATTCATCCAATATATGAGGAAATAATGCAGGATTTCAGTTTTCAGTAGTTTTTAAATGGTACAAATTTAAATAGTTAGTTAGAGAGACCTTTATTGTCATCGCACAGAGAGCACAATGAAATAGTAAATTAATACAAATGTCCACTGGCATCAACAAGTGTCTAAAGGCAGTTTTTAGCCTCAGCGCTCAGAGCAGCAGATGCTGGTTGTACAGTCTGCTGTTTTATGAAGCTAAGGCTCGACATCATTAATGAAAGCGCAGGTGTTGTCGATAACATCCTCAATAATTACAGGCCGATGGCAGAGCAAGGGAGGATGTTGGCCTATTGTTTATCTCCCGTTATAGCAGAGAAAACGCCAGAAAGTCTCCTGCAACGCGAGCTGTGAGGAGTAGCGGCAGACGGCTCGACCTCCGATCTGACGACCTCGGCGGAGCTCAGGAGYGCTCGCACGAGTGTGTTCAAGAGAGGTGCTGCGAAAGAGAGGCTGTTCGCCGCGAGAGGGGCCTGAATTCCAGACATGTCCTTATTAAGAAAGGCCTGCGAGTGCTCACTGTTTCTCCTCCTGCCTCCCTTGTGTCAACTCAACGCCCTCCCTCCTTCCTCTGCGTCCCCCCCCCTTCTCTACTCAGAATGTCTCTACCCAAATAAGGGCAGGAGACCAGGGGATGGGAGGAGTGGGTTGGTTGGTTGGTTGGTTGGTTGGATGGATGGATGGGGAGCAGTGGGGGGAATGGGTGTGTTTGGTGGAAGAGGGGTGAGGGGTATTGGAGGTGGTGGTAGGAGGGGAGCGTGGGGGTGGGGGGTGTTGTTGTCTGAATTAGGCACCCACTTTAGAGTCTGGAAAACAGTGGGATTGTTCCAGCTGGAATGCAACATCAGCACAGAAAAGCTCTGTGCCCCTCAGAGCTCAAAGTAAAGAGAAGACACTGCTTTCAGTTACGTCCTCTTGTACACTCAGAGGTCAATTGTCATAATAAAAACAATACAACCTGTTTTAAAAATGCAAAAGCAAATTTCCTGGTGACATTCCAAAATGACTTGACAGTTTAAATATTACAATAATACTTCATATTATCCATTGATGCCAATGGAAAAGACCTAACAGGTGAAAACTAATACAAGATAATCAATCCTCAGTTACACAAAACTCTATAATATTGTTAAACTAATTGGTGTACTTCATATTCTTTAGGCAGTTTTAAGTGAAATCACCATAATAGTTTAATTTCTCTATAATAGCAAAAAGTCTCCTGAACTGCTGGACAAATTTAAATTTCAGGACATAATCATTAAAGCGCCTCTGTTAACTTTTACAGTAAACCAAACTGAAGATGGCCACCACAATCAGCTGACCTTAAAAACAAACACAAAAATGGCTACAATTCAGCCAGTTTTCCTGATATCATGTCAAAATTTGGTGTGGCTGTAATTAGTCATTCACTACACATTTGTTTAACACATTCTCACTCAAGACTCATCACATATTGATGCTTGGTCCAGATTCCTTCTGCTTCCAGTTTTAATGCATCGGGTAACCCCCTCACATCAGTTATTARTGCGAGGGGCTTTGGGTTGGGGTCCGTGGTTAATATTAGGGATCAGGATTTCTGGTTAATTTTAGGTTATGAGATCGAGGATAGAATGTCTAGGGATAATAGAAGTTAAGTTTAGGGTTTGGGACAGTTACTTGTCATGCATTATTTTTACATTTTTCAAAAATGTTTAATATTAGGGATCAGGATTACTGGCTAATTTTAGGAAGTAAGGTCAGGGATAGGATGTATACCAGGGGTGCCCAAACTTTTTCCCCAAGTGGGCCAAAATTATCATCAATCCGGGGCTGCGGGCCAAATGTAGTAATAGAATACATGAAATACAAATACTTTTTAAATAAAGTACTTTATTTTTAATGATTAATCTTTCAGCCAGTGCAATGGCCCACTTTG